TGGTGATTGAAGTAGTCTCAGCGTTGTCTCTTTCTTTGTAGCAGAATCACTCTTTTACCAGTTCTCCTCTTTGGATTAGGACCTCTCGTTTTAAAAAAAAATATTCGTTTGTCAAAAGAGACTATTTGGACTTTGCTCTTGCCTGCTACAATGCTCATTATAATCTGGACATGATTGGCAAATGCCCTTGAAAGCAGGACATGGAATGGTAGAGCAGAAAAATGCTATTTCAGATAGCTAAGGAAAGGTGGAAAGTAGCAGAGTGTCTGTGAGGGAGTGTTTTTTATTTTATGCCTATACTTTGCGAATCGTTCTTATTCACAGATGTTTTTACAAATGTTTTCAGTGTTTTCACTTTGCTAAATAAATATTGCATTGTAAATTGCATTAGTGTGACATATGTATTCAGTTTGTCACACCAAAAGTGAACATTTTAGCACAGTTAAAGTTGTCTTTCCACGTCTTTGTCCATGTGATCTAGTGTGAAATGGATGTTCTAATGCTTACTGATCAGTTAGGTGAGGGCAGTTTAATGTCAGGATGATGGCTTTATACAGCTTTTGATATTCCTCTGCTTAGTGGTTTCACTGACAGTTCCTCTTCCCAGGAGGAGGAAGTTACCTCTAAGATTTACGTCGTCTTTTCATGTGGGCAAGGCAGTAGTGTCCCCATCTCTTAATTACCCGCTAGTTTGTGGGCAGAAGAGGATGTGTGCCTGTAAAAGCATACACTGTCTGAGCAGTTGTTCAAAGGCTTCTCCAGGAAGGAGGTAGTGAGTAGGCTGGAGGTGTGACACAGCCAGGATCCAGCCTTTAGGACAGTTCTGAGCTATATTATGAGTCTTGAGTAAGGATCCCTTAAGGGAAGATCACACTAGTGATTCTTTTAAGTTGCTAGTTGTAATGAGATGTCACACGCAAAAGCTAAAGGGACTTCATTACAAGGTTTATCCAAGGAGATGGATGATTTTTTTTGAACATTAATGTATCTGTGATCATCACCAGCTGAAACAGAAGTCTTTGTTCTTGCGAGATCCTGTTCTGCATCTTCAAGTGCAAACTTTATCTATAATTGCAGGCACATTTTGCCTATGAAGTAACAAGAAATTTGACAGAAGGTGAGAGGGACTCTGTAGAGATCCACAGCAGAGAAGATTCAGATTCACAAAGCTATTTATAACTTGAAAGTCTCTCCTAGAAGTTTGAAACTGATGCATTGGAAAAGGTAGCAAAAGCTACAAAAAGTGCATGAGTGGTGTGCTCAGATCAGGCCATCCGCAGCTGCATTGAGGCCTGAATGTGGTTCCTTGCAAGACTGTTCAGTGCCTATTGGTCAGCAGGTGCAATTATTAGAAAAAGGCAGTGTATCTTTCTGTGTCTTTATTCTCCAGAACTGTATTTGTCAGTAGTTCTGGTCAGTAACACTTCACAGGTCTTGGGGTGGCATTATTTGCTGAGTTAATAAGAATCAGCGTGATACAAGACATGGTCTATTTGTGTGTGGAGGGGTCCTTAATCGTCTGTCTGGATGAGGTGAGGTAGCCTGGTTCTGAAGTCTGGCTTTGGAGGGAAAAAAGAATATGTTAGAGGGATCCTTTCCATCTCAAGGTAGACCTTCTAAGATGCTGCTTATCAGCTGCTTTTTAGAGCTGCCTGGTTTTCACTCTATTATAGCTAAGGCTTGGAGAGATTCCACATTATGCCTTGTAACCCAGAGCATCTAATGCAAACCTTAATGAAGCAGTGAATATAGGTGATATTTTCTGTACACAGAAATTACAGGCTGTTTCAATGCTTGTTATTTCCTGAACACGAGTCCATCAGAAGGGTGAGCACCACTGTGCTGGGTAGGCACGCCTTTATTTTACTGAGGATTAAGGACCTGGGGCTAAAAAAGAAAGGCAAACATCAGTGTTACAGGCTCTGTGTATTATGCGTACTAAGGATTAAAAATATAGTTAGCGTAGTTTTTACTAATGCAACATGCATCAGCTTTTTGTCAACTGAAGTACGGTGAAGTTACATAAATAAATGGAATGCATGAATAAGTAGATATGTCAGTTAAACCTAAATGTGCTCAACTTAGATATCCTTAGTATGCTCAAGGCACAGAAATTATTCCTCTGCACACGACTGCAAACAGAATTTGTAGTATGTTTTAATGTGCAATGTGATGGCATTATAGTTTCTGCAACTTCTCTGTTCAATTTGTCAGCCTTAGTTTGCCTTATTCATACAGAGGCTTGTGTAAACATTGCACGTATTGCTTCAAGAGATGTGCTGTGTGCATGAATTCAGTCACATTTCATTACTTTATTGATCAAAATAATTCTTTACTGTTTGATATTCCTGTTAACCATGTAGAGCCAAGATAGCAAAGAAAGTGTGGGCTGTGTTCTTTCTTGCTCATCGTTTGAATCACTTTCTGAATTAAACATATGCAAACTTACTCAGGGAGGGGAGCACAGTGAAAAGTCTCATTTGCCATATTTGGTTGCTAGTGAAGGAAATAATGCTGCTAATAATTTGAATTCTTGAACTTCAGGTTGGGTTTGCTGTACTAGCAGTTATATCAAAGAAAAAGGAAAAGATACTTATTTTAAAGGGCGTTGGTATAAGTCAATACTAGCTGCCTGTGAATAATTGTTGTCTGTAATCCAGCTCAGAGTGAAAATGAAAATAGGAGACATGTCTGTTACACCCTCAGCAGCATCTTATTGAGCTTGTTGGCTTTCATTCTGCAGAAGAAGCCATGCAAGTTGTCCATGAGCATAATTTTATTATGTATTTCAGAAGCCAGAGTCTTTTGTACAGGGAGTTGGTGTTTTCAGCAGCCTAAACCCTGCAATGTGCCATTGGGTCTTTTTGGCATTTTAGCTTTTTCCCTTTGAATGTCAAAAATCTCTCAGATAAGCTGCTTGTGGTTCTAGCGGGTGTTTTCATTGTGCATAGTCCCTGTCCTTCATGCCATGCCAATTATTGGGTTCTTAAAAAAATTAATAATGTACTAGAAAAATGTAGGCTTCAATTTTGTTGACGCCATATTAGCATCTACCTGAAGATCCAGGGAATGCTGGGCCAGCATCTTCAGAGAAGAGTATGAACAAAGGTGTGAAACATCTGAGTGTATACACGTAAGACACAAATTTCCAATTTTGTTTGAAAAGAAAGTAGAAATAAGCATTTTGTCCAAGTATTGAAAGATGTTTGTTTTACAAATATGCAGAAAACTTGAAAACAGTGAGTCTAAATTACTCATTTGTGGACTGCCCTTTTTAGGGAAGGGTGCATTCATTTTGTTGAATTACCCCTACATTTCAATGTCAGCTGTAGAGTGTAACTCTACACTTCATGAAAGGAGGAGCTAAGGTGACTTGGATGTAGCAACTGATGATGTTGTTCTTTGTGATGCCATTTGAAACAGGTTGGCTTGGGAAAAAAAGCAAATTATTTGGATGCCAGAGTTTTAGCGAACAATAGGGAAGTTGTGTTTGTTTAGTGCATTACATATGCTGTTCAGTTTTTAGACTCGTGTCTAATACCACATAAGGCAGAGATGAGCAGCTTTTCAGGAGTGAGGGGCTGGATTGTATTTTTCTTTCACAACTGAAAGGTTAAGAATGCTGGTTGAAGACGTTCGAGTGTGCTGTCAGGCAGTGTTTGGAAATGGCTAGCTGTCAGACAGGCAAGATGCCACCCAGCAGCTGGCACAGGGCTGGTGTGAGGGGCAGGGCTCCCTGTCCCAGTGCTGCCAGAGCCAGGACTCTTGGGATACCAAGGCTCCCGGTGCTCCAGCCAGTGCCAGTGATGCCAGCGTGGTCTGTCTCTGGAAATCTACCCACCTCTTCCTTTGCTGCGTACACCGAGGGTTGGGAACTGCAGGCCCAGTAGGAAACTCTGTCACATGTATCTAAAATTGTTGTAATTGCTGTTAATGTGAAGTTTGGCGTAAATTTCTTGTGCAAGGTTGCTGTGACGTGGCTCTGCAGAGATGTTTTTGTAACAGACTATTTGGGGACTGGATGGTCACTGTGAAACCAGAGCTAATCAACTGACCACTAATGTCCTCTTTTACGTTGCATTTTTCTAAAAGAGGGGTGAATGAGCAGATTCTTCATGCAAGTTTTGAAGAAATAATTTTTGAAACCCCTGTGCGTATGCAAAAAGATTCTCTTTGTGAAGTTATGTGTAATATTATAATGTCTATATTGGTTTTGCAGGCTGTATTGATCAACAATAAAGGATATTATTATATAATAGGATAGTAACCTGTAGGCTTACTTTAGAATCTAACCTTTGAAAAAGAACTCTACCTGTTTTATATGCTTAATAACTCTTGGGAGTACTAATTATTAGGTAACCTGGAGCCATATCTGAACAGTGAGCAATACTGTACTTTTTTTGAACCTAGTGCAAGTGTGCACAAGTTAGTCTCTTATTTTGTGGTATCATTCAGACAAACGCGGTGGTGTTGGGTCTAGTGTAAGATGTTTAAAGACTGTGCCTGTCAACACTTTATCAGAAAGTGTAGCAGGTTCAGAACACAACAGTCTGATTACAGGCAGCTGCCTCTTGTGTCTAGAACATGGCTTATTGTTAAATCAAAAGCTTTCAGATGTAATTATGGCATGGATCAGTTACTATGTAGATATTCCCAGAGTACCACCTCTGCAACCTGTTAGCATGTGGATCATGTTGTCTTCTGTCCATGGTCATATGATAGCTGGATCAATTTTCTCATTTAGAAAATATAAATGGTTTCTACGTAGGAAAACTTAGGATGAACATATCTAAATTATTTCTGTCGCTCTGCTGTATTTTGGTTTTGATCATTGCATAATAAAAACTTAACCTAATTTTCTTCCTTAAATTAAAACAAACAAACAAACATACAAATGTGTGACTGCTTTGGATTTAGTAGCACGTACTACATAGTCCAAATGTTTAACAGTATAATTAATAATACACATTTTAATGGTATTTCATGTTTTCTTTTCCCAGGAGCTGTGATCATCTCCACTCCGCAAGACATGGCTTTGTTGGATGCACGCAAAGGAGCTGAAATGTTTAGAAAAGTCCATGTACCAGTAAGCCTCTACATTAAAAATACCAGTAGATTGTTTTTCCAAAATGTAGGAAAAAAAATTCCATTGAACTGCTATAGGTGAACAAATCATTCAGGAATCACTTGAATTTCATAAATTCTTGTTAAAAAAAAAAATAATTATCAGGAGTTTGCTTTAACAGAAAGGAAAGAATATTCTCAAGCTGAGGTCTTAATAGTACTTGATTTCTTTTAAATCAGTTTGTTTAATCACCTGGAATGGATGAAACTGCTAAACAGAGTATCTTATGAAGTAGTGTACACTTTCCAATTATACTGTCTTACTATGTCCTCATTATGTGTCCTCTTCAGCACTGTCTGTGTTGGAGCTTAAAATCTTAAGATTTCTTGAAATGTGGAAAAATCATATATTGGTACATTTTAAGAAGGAAATTTAAGTTTTTTGGGGTGATAGGCACATACCTAATTGTCACTTTGCCACTTGAAGGGCTCTGTGACTGTCACAGCAAGTAGAAGGCTGTCTATATCACTATTCGTTTTTCATGAGGTATATAGCTTGTATGGTAGCTTGCTTGTCTGGGAAATGCAAAATTTAAAAATATCCACAATATTCACGGTGATTGGGAGAAAATACTTAACAGGGTGACATCTTTGACTCTATTTTCTGTGTGTGCTACAAGTTGCTAAGTAACTGAATGTTATACTCTAGAGTATGTTCATGAAGGATTTGTTTTTCATTTGAAATATGCAGTTGAGAAAATGTAAACTGAAGTACTTATCTTAAACAGTAAAGAGAAAAAAGCCATTTACTATACTTTAAAAAAGGTGTTTTCTTGCTTACCTGTGTGAAGGTTATTTCTACTCTTTATTAAGAAAGGAAAGTACTTTCATAGCTAGTGCTTTGTTAATTTAAAAAATGCAACAGAAACCTTGAAGTGACTGCTTTCCCTTTTTGTTTTAATTTACAGAACAGCTTAAAAGAAATACATTGATAAATTCCTTATTGTTAAACATATTTCCACCAAAATGAAAGTATAGTAGCATTTATCATTTGCTACTAAAAAAAAAAGTGTTTTGTTTTGATTTTATGCTTGGGTTTGCTAAAACTACGCAAAATAGTCTTCTTCAAATAAAATTGTGTTCAAGTTAGTACTTTGCTGAAGGTTTCTTTTGATTTAATGAGACATTACCAATATTTCTTTCTAACCTGTTTTATTCAATGCTCTTTGAAGAGAATGGCCTCTGAGACAATCATGCATTCTAGGATAATCTTGGCTGCTATCAGTTTGACTAGTGGTTTTCAGATCCTTCTAAATCAAATGAAAAGTCGCAGTGAAGCTCTTGTGCCAGATGCTGAGTTTGAATGCACTTGAACTAATCATCAGGTCTTACCTTTTTCATGGTGCTGCTTCTTTTTATTCTAACCTTGTATGTACATCAGTACAGATGTGTTATTTACTTCAGTGTTGAAGCAGCTCCTGCCTATGTATTATGTTTTTAAGCATCAGCTTACTCTGAGGATCTACAGGAAGTTTAGTTACATAATTTTTGATGGACAACCTCAAACCTGAAGTTTACATTGAAGAGGTGGAATCCACAGGGCTGTGCTAAAATTGTGTATCTTAATTATATAATTGACTGATCTTAAAACCCCTAGATTTTAAAACCTTTAATTGAATCTTTAAAAAAGTGTTTGCAAAGTGTCTACTTTTCAAAGAAGCAGAGAATCTATAAGTTGCTGAGCTCTGAGTATGAGTATGCTCACTTATATTTAATGTAATCTCTCCGTTGTGCTTGTAGGCATACATACAGCACCTTCCTCTCACCCCTGCAGTCATTAGTTACCAAAGACTCAAATGACATATGTAGCATTACCGTAGTAAAGTCACAATTGTTAACATTATTTATTTATCCTTTGCGGTGTTGAAATTAGAGTAGAATGACTGACGGTACTGATGAAAAGCTGTCAATGGGAGTCAGCATTAGGATCAGGATTACCATGCAAAAGTCTTATTTTTCGGTCTTAGGACATAGTCATTGGAAGAGGAGTGCCATCTCTTGTGCAGTGGAGCACACCTGGTAAGGAAGGAGTTTGCAAAGTGATGCTGACTCCTGTCACAAGAAGTTTCAAGGTTCTTGCCCATTATGTGAATTTGGCCATTGTTTTCATGCATCCCAGAGGCTTGCTCTGGGCAGGTGACAAAACAAAATTGAATAACTTTTGAGTATTTAGGAAAAAATTGCCTATTTCCACCTGCTGAAATTCAGTTCAGTTCAGTATGGTTTATCTTATCAATCATATCCCTGAAAGAAAAAGACAGGATTTTAGTTAAATCTGCAACTTTTCTGGTAATTTCCTTCAATTGGAAGGTTGTGTTGTGGATGGGTTGTACCAAAATTGTTTATTTGGCTGTGTACTTACTGGTATTTCTGTAGTGCCTGGAGTACCCGGCCAAGATTATGCCTTCATGTTGGGAGCACACATTAGAGCCAAAAATTGGTTGTTATAAGACGAAAGGTAGGAAGACAGAACTACTATTGTGCACATTTACTTGAAGCACTAAAACATCAAATGACTGACTGATGGTTACGTAGGAGGCCGATGGCAGACTGCCGAATGGTAGCCCTGATCATGTCAGTTCCTGTCAGGTTGGAGTCGGACCTCAGCACCATCCATCCTTAGGTACAGTGAACAACCTAAGTGTGTTTCTCAGGAATTGTCACCTTCTGTAAAGGTAGAGGGCTTTCACTTTCTCACTATTTTCTTTAACTTAGAATGTAGTATATTTGGATTTCAGCATGACTTGTTGTGTAACCGAAAGGTTAATTGAGCATAAGAAATATGTCAACATTCAGAAACAGTGTGTGCACAGATAATGCATAATGAAAGGTTTCTTTGTTTTCTGTTATTTCTTGATAGATGTCTCTTAATCATTTAAAATAACGATTTGACTAAATGAAATTTTCATGCATTATAGCTATCCTCTCCTCCACTACCATCAGTTAGCTCCTGTATTGCAGTGCATCTCATCATACTAGTATTCATGTCATTGCTGAGCCAAGTTTGCTAAGAAATGTACAAGGAAAGGAGCTCACTAAGGACTAGAACAGGATTCACATATACTTATGGGATAGTTTGTGTAGACAGTAACAGCTGCTTTGAAGCTATTCCAGATCTATTATTTGAACAGGGAAACAAGAGTTATTACTGACTTCATTAGCAAGACCTTATTTTCTAGATTTAAAAGCTCTGAGATCATAGTGAACTCCCTTCTGTGAATATATCTGCAGAAATATGCATGTTAAAAATACACTTCAGTACTAAAGTTGTGTATGTTTGCACAGATTCTATATTAAACCAGGTGTTTATAATTGGCAACTTAATTTTCAAAAAAATCTCTTTGTATTCCAGAAGAGTGATTTATATATTAATAAATGTGCGCTACTCGTTGGCTGACAGATAGGAACAACACTGAAAAAATAAAAATTATTATGTAATACTGAAATGTCATTTGTTTTTAATAAGATTTGTAGAAATGAAACCAGAAAAGGACAGTGAATAAGACCTAAAATTGATTGGGAATACAGCCGTATCTCAGCATTTGCAGTAACTGTGGTAGAAGGACTTCTTAGTTACTAGGCCATCAAAGAATTAACAAAACAGCTGTAATAGTCCTTAACTATTCACAAAACAATAGTAGACTATGTAACTTTAACTGAATTCACTGAATCGTAAATGTTGTATGACTACTTTGAGGAGAACAGGAAGTCCAAACCCTGAGATACCTGAAGATGAATTAATTAAAATTTTAAAGTATAAATGTCAAGTTCTTTTTTTTTTTTTTTTCTTGTGCTGCAGAAAATGACTTCCCTGTATCCTAGATAAACTACTATTCTTTTGTCAAGTAATACCCTTGCCAGAGTTCTCCAGTTTACCAACACAATGAAAATTCCATTACTTTAATTTAAGGAGAGCGGGATGAATACCTGCTCAGAGGTCGTCAGTAGAAGACTGTGGCTGTAGAGACCCATTCTTACCATAGCTGCACCTTGTACCCTTGGACACGTAGTATTTCATGTCTTAAGTTCAAGAACTGGATGAGAAAATTATCTGTAATAATGTGCCGGTAAATAGAAACTTGTTCCTCTTCCTTCTCTGGCAGTCCTTGGGAGAGAGCAGAAAATGGGGAAAGTTTGTAGTGTTAAATTGAGAGTAGGTAATATTTTGTTTTGTTTTGTTTGTTGTTGTTACTGTTTCTTAAAATGTTCTTTGCTTTAAACCCTCTGAAAGTTTTAAATAAGTAAAGGAAGACTTTGTAGAAAATAGTATTTTTAAAACTTGGCTATAGTGTGTGTGATATGTGGATAACAGACAAACCTTAGTGAAATACTGTAACATGGAACCTCTTAAAGCAGGTCTTCTGTTGATCAGCAGATGGGTAGAAGCATTCACCCTGTAGTATTTGAATGCTGTTTTTGTCACTTTTGAGAAATTCTGCTTTGCCTCCATGAACAATTTTGTTTAGTAGATGAATAAAGTGAGATCAATGCTATCATTAGTGTTATTCTGCATTGTGAAAGAAGATTTTTGTGTGCATGATTTGGCAAATTTTCATTTGACATATTTTGCAAGGATGATGTTGAACACCTGACATCAACAGAAATGTACCTAGTATGTGTGTATTAGATTTTTATGCTGTAGTTTCTGCCACTCGGTTTCACATAATTGTTTGTTTTGTTTGATCTCTAAAATGTGTTTCTGCTCTTCAGAAGAATAGCAAATCTGGTTCTTTTTGAAAACATTTCCCTGCAGGATAACTTACAAAAATATCTTAAAATCCTGTCTGATTGTGTCATTTCTTGTAATGATATGGGTTTTTTTTTCTGTTTCCTGAAACTGCAAATAATAAAGCTGTAAAACACAACATGAAATTTCTTCCAGTATTCAGTGTTTGAAAATGAAATACTGGCAGGGAGAAGTCTTGGAAAGATAAGCCTGTACAAGAGGTACTTTTTGTTACAAGTAAGTTTGTTGATCTTTGAGAGGGATAAATGTGAAAAACTTGAAATAATGCACGGATGATAGTGCAACTGAAACGACTAATAAGAGTTGATAATTATGTTAGAGTCTAATATTACTGCTACTTCCTGTTATAAATGAATACTCTTTGTTGATCCTTTGCTGGTAATCTCTTCTTTATTGTCAGAGTTGAATAGTAGAAATGCCAATGCTTGAAACCCAGGTTTGAACATTCCTTTCTTTTACTTTAACAGGTTTTAGGACTCATTCAAAACATGAGTGTTTTCCAGTGTCCCAAATGTAGGCATGAGACACACATTTTTGGAGCTGATGGTGTAAGAGATCTAGCAAAAACCCTTGGATTAGATGTTTTAGGTAAGAGTATAGAAATGGTTTTATTTTTGAAGGAAAATTTAATGGCATGTCTGAAGGAAGCATTAACTGAAGTATGGAACTGCATAATCCTAGATTACTCTATATTCAGACAGTGTTCAGATATAATAGAACTAATAACTTAAGTAGTTGAGTGTCACAATTCTTGTATGCTCTGTTCCTTATTGGTATCATTCCTATAAATGAGATGTGAACTGGATATGAATTGCATCTTAAATATCTTTTGATTTATAAAGAGTCGAGAGGTTGGATTGTTTTGATATCGATGCACTATATTACCTGAAATTTATTATGTTATTTATGATACAACAATTTTTACAAATAACCAAGAATTCTATTTGGTCTTGTAAGATAGACTTAAACTCTGTCCATTAATGTCAGTAGAAGTTTTCTCATTTATTTCTTTTAAATGAAATGAGTTGTTACATATTGAAATAAATACGGTAACTTGAAATGCAGTCCCTTAAAGCAGTTGTTTTTATGCTGATACGAATATATCATGGCTCTTGTATAGAAGCAAGCAAACTGTAGTGATTGTATTTAAATGTTGAGATTAAAAGAATAGGCTGAATTGAAAAATGTGGTTTCAAAAGAAGATTTATCTTTATTGAAAACAAAAATTAGTGATGATTAAACAATCTGGCGTTCCTATATAAACTAAAATACACATTAATCTTTAAAATATACATTGCTATTTTAAAAAAGCGTATTTCAACCTGTGTTGTCGTTATAAAAAAAGTGCACAATATAACACAGCATAATTAGGTTGGTAAATGGGATAATTGCATGTGCTAATGATGTGTTTCCATGTATTACTATAATTATCTCAATGATTTTCCATAGCTAATTCATTAAAAAGAACCAGGAAGCTCACTTAAAAAGATCAACACAGAAACATCAAGGTCTGACATAAATTTAAGATAGCAAGGCAACACATAATTAAAGACATGCTTTGGGGCTATCTTTTAGTTTTCTGAATATATAATGAGTTGTGATCAGGGCCCAAGGGGACTTCTGCAGCCCTGAGTTATGTGGATGGATGCAAATCCTCTGCAAGCAGTTAAATCAAACATGCATTTAGATACACAGGCACAAATGATGTGCCATGCCATTGGTCCCATAGATGTTTTTTGTTATTCCCTAAGAGGGTGGAACTGATTGTGATTGTATTTAATTAGGAGTGATGTGAGAGATTTACAGGTTTAGCAGGGGATGGTTGAGATGTATGAAGGAAAACAGAGTGAAGTTTACCTTCAATCTGTCAGTGAAAGATTAAGAATAGTGCCCCAAGGGTTAAATTTAGAATTACAGTACTTGATCTGATCAGTATGCTCCTCCTTCCAGGGATGACCATTATATAATAATACCATATGGTATTATAAGAATTATTGCTTACGGATTTTACACTAATCTATCCCAAATGGAAGTTTTATCCCAGTGTTTTTTTGTTTTTACTTCCTAGAATAAATTCAAATTATTCTTAGCACTTACCCTTTCTTTGCAGTCAGCAATAATTATTAGTATCCGAAAAAGGTGCAATGGCAAGTTCCTGTCACATTCTGTAGTGAAGAAATAGTACAAAAATTCCATCTTCCTCAAATCCTTATCACTGAAACAGCTGTGTGTGTGCTTTTGCTGTCTTAATGCTTCTGCTTAATTTATAAGGTTTTGATTTTTTTTTTTAAATTAAGATCACATTTTGCTTTGTCTTCTGACCTGCATTTTTGCTCATACAAGCCTTGTTATGCTCCTGTAATACGAGCATATCTTTGTAAGTATGAGGAAGTAGTAGCAGAGCAGTTCTTTTTGTAATTCTCTGAGATTGTTATTAAGCTGATAAGGAAGAAGTATTTTTTTTTTTCATTAACAAAACATCCTTGGGAAAAAAAGTGAAGGATTAGTCTCTGCATAAAATAATGATAGGAACTAACTTCTGGGAGATTTGCAAAGTTACTGTTATCCTATTAAGAATGTTTAAGGTTAAAAAAAACTTTCAAAGGACCCCCTAAATAATTTTTTTTTTTAATGAATAAATAAACAGACTTCTATGCGTAAATAAATTCATTCATGACTGAAACAAATGTGAAGGAAAGGAATTGTAATCATCATAAATAACAAACTGAAGTTCTTCAAAGATTTAGCTCACTAATCATGGAGCTTCTGCTTTTGTTTGCTATTTGTTTGGGGTTTTGTTTCTATTCCTGCTTGCTTTTGGTTCTGTTTTTTCACTCTTAAGCTGTGTCAATTTTTATGCAGTTTTTCTAATGTTTCTTTTTTTTACTACATTGAACTTCAGCAATTTATACTGGCCTTGGTTTGGGTTAAATGAATGTTGCTAAAGCATATGAATTAAACACATACAGTTTCTGAGACCAGTCAGGATTGAACTGAGGTAGGCTGTTCTGACTACATCCATCCATGATGTAAAATGTAGCTTTATCTTCTATGAAAAGAAAGTTGGTCTTCAGTTCACTTCATAATTATCTATGTAGCAATGAAGTAAACATGGGAACTTCAGGTTTTTGTTAGTGCTGAAAAACTGTATTTCAGGAAGTGTTTTCAGAATGGAATAGAGCTGCTAATTGATTCTCCTTTAGAACGTTCCTTTCCTCTCTGACAGTTCCCTGCTTGTTATAAAAGCAGAATGTAAAAAAGATTTCTATTAGAAAGAAGAATGAACTGAATAGTTGTCTACCATTTAATTGGACCCGAGGCCTAATAAGGACAATAACAATTGCTATTATTGGAAAAATAAGTATTCAAAGAAGTCTTCGAACAGTGATTAAAATCTTAAAACACACTGAAAAGAATATACAATGAGGAGATAGGCAGAACAGTAAGTTGCATGATGAGCATTTGCCTAACACTCAGGCAATTTTTTTATGTATGCAAAATAATTTGTATCTCAGCCTGTGTTGTTCTGTGTATTGAAGGCAAAAAAGCAAACTGCATTTTCTAATTAATGACTACAAAGTATAGTCCTTCTCATTCAGAGAATGAAAAATCCAGAATATGTTTGGCATTAATCATTATGGATGTAGAGAAACTGTACTGCAGCCAATTTTCATTTTAAATGCTAATTTTTTGAGATTAAGTAATTCAGAGAATATAGTGAACTGGGATTTGATTTCAAGTTGCTTTAGGGCTATTTTAATGAAACATTTAAGAAATATTAGGTCTTCACATATGCGCATCTTGGTATTTTTGATACAGGAGACATTCCACTGCATGTTAATATACGGGAGTCGTGTGATTCAGGACAGCCTGTTGTGATCTCGCAGCCTCAAAGTGATGCCGTAAGTTTGGTGCACTGCCCTTAAAACAACAAAAAGCCCTCCTCCAAAAGTGAATGGAGAGTGCTTCTCGTTATTGCTGTTTGAAAAGAAATGTGTATCTGAATGTAAGTTAGGGAAATAAAGTACAAGAGAGTAGTACCATCGAGTAACACAGGCCCTTCGTTCTGGAATGTTGGTCACCCATTCTGCTTCTGTGGGTTTGGTTTTGTTTAATTAGTCTGAATCATTCAGAATAGCAAAGATTAGGTCCAGGTTCTGGCATGCCAAGAAGAGGAAGGTCAGTGTCAAGCCTCATGAGACATTGCAGCTAATGTAGGGTCCTCTAAAACTGTCAGCTGAGCCTTTGGTAGTTGAGTCTGGAAACTGTCAAAGGGTCCTATCCAAACATGTTTGGAACAAACC